GAGCCACATCCCCGCCCCCATCTTTCCTTCTGAAGGGAAATGGGCTTGCGTTCCCTCTACCGCAAAGCACCTGTGATTAGGGGGAAGGGGTTTCTTTAAAACATCAACTACCTGGAAAATAATCGCCCCATGAAAGGTTTTTTTCAAAAAAATGGATTTTGCAAAGCCCATAGTCAGGACACCGTAATGAGTTTCACAAGAAAGATAAACATAACAATCTCTGCCTGCAACTTGGCTGTGTAAAGTGGAGGGAAGAAAAGCCCCAAAGAAAACCACTAAAACCACTAGACATAGCTAAAGTTCTTAAATATGTAAACAGGAACAGTGATACCCAAAAATCTTCATGACACCTTTGAAAAGAAGTCTCCTACAAACCCATACTTTGGTCAGTCCATGGTGAATGTTGCATGAGACTTTATATCACAGGCTTTTTTATATAGCTTGCAATAAAGTAGTGGCTAAAAGGAAAGTTTGGGTCCCACTCGACACGGTCACTAATCTTCTAGGCTTTGGTTTCCTCCTTACTAAAATGGGAATAATAACATTTTGCAGGTTCATGTAAGGATTAAACAGAGTAAGACTTATAAATTGCTTAGTACCATGCCTGGCACACACAGGTATCCATCAAATATTAGCTGCTATCTCCATAGGATTCAATTTCCAAGGGAAAATCAGATTGAGGGTTAGCGATCAGGAATTCTGGAAGCTCAAAGTCATTTGTTTGATTGGCCAGGCCTAAGTGGGTCTTTTTTTTAAATTTCAGGTGGTGAGTAGGGTTCTAAAGTAGTGGTTCTCAGCCTTGGATGCACGTTAGAATCCCGTGTATTTGGGCGGGGGGCTTTTTAAAAACCAGGATACAGCCCAGATTTAATTAATCAGAGTCCCTGAGGGAGGGAGCCAGCCATCAGAACATCTGTAATGTTCCTCGGGAGATTTCAATAAGCAGCCAGATAAATTTCTCATTTGCTCTAAAACTCTGAATCTACTATGTAGTTGTATTTATGGTGGGAAAGTAGCTCAAACAAACAATACGTTGTCAGTGCCAAGATAAAGTTTCCCATGGGGGGCTCCAAAGATTCTATAAAAGATAAATCTAAAAAACACTAATTTTCATCTGTGCCGCTTTGTAAGTATCACAAGCTTTATATTCTTAGTAAAGCCCAGTGGAGAGAACCTGTCCTAAGTAATTAAAACTCATTTGACTCATTTAGATTAGTGCTAAGTATTCTTCTTATAGCAAATTTATTAGTAGTATGTACAAAAACATGAAGCAGATTATGACTGAAACATTCTTAGTTAACTGACTTATAGTCAATGTGTCAGCCTATAATTTAAACCCAGGATCGGCTGCAGGGAAAGGGGAATGTGGAACAATTATTTAATGAGTCGAGTTTCCGTTTGGGAAGATGAGAAGAGTTCTGGAAATGGATGATGGTGATGGTTGCTGTTCTGTGCTCTTTTATGTGATGGTCAGTCAGGTGTGGCCACAAGAGGAGACAAGAGAGCCTCAGGAAAACAAAATCTATCATACTCACGGGGCCTAGAAACAGGAAGGACTTTACAGCACGCAGGGCCACATGGGAAAGGACTAGTGCAGGTCAGGAGGTGAAAGGAGCAGGAGCGGGAGAGAGCCTGAGCCATGGCAAAGGCAAGGCAGGGGTAGGGTGAACAGTTTAGGGCTGGCTATTGGGAATCATTTCCACAGGCTTTAAGCTGTAGGAGGGGTCCCTTGTTGCCTGGTCCTGGGCCCTAGGGTGATTAAGGCAGAGGAATAAATATTGCCTCCTGGGGTATAGGGTTAGATAGAAGGGCTCTGGATTGGTTAGTTTGCATGTCAAAGGATTGCTCCCTGGTGAGCCCTGTACTATCTCATTAAGAATTGGCTAACCCTGAAGGGGCAGTCTCTCCTCAGCCAGAAAGGTGTTTACGATGTCAAAATACCATACTATACAGAAATTTTTAAAAATATAAACAACACAGTTGCACAACAGTGTGAATGGACTTAATGACACTGAACTGTACACTTGAAAATGGTAAAAATGGTAAATTTTGTGTTATATATATTTTATAATAAAAGAAAAAAACTAGGATCCACAAAGATCAAAAATGGTAAACTCTAGGCAAAAGACAAGAACCAAAGAAAAAACGTGGGGAGGCAGGAGAAGACAAAATTTCAAGAACTTCAGGGGCTGCTGAATTATTGGGTTGTTGGAAAAGTCATGACGCATGTTTGCAACAGATGGCTCTAGTTCATTTTTGGAAGTACTAGAGTCATTCGCATCTATGTTATTGCTATGTTGTTTGACAGCTGACAGTTCTAGCTTATTTTTTAAAAAATTGAGTGATTTGGTTGAGTTTTGGAGATTTTACAACAAGTTGAAGATGGAAGACCAAACTGTACATTTTTGCCATATTTTACTGTTTTACTTCCGCAAAGGGAAGAATGCGCGTCAAACTTGTGAAAAATTGCATAAAGTTTATGGTGACAATGCTCTACAAAAATGTCAGTGCCAACAATGGTTCCTGAAATTCCATGCTGGTGATTTTGATCTCAACGACACTCCTCAGTCAGGGAGACCCACCGAGGTTGATGACGAAAAAATAAAGGCATTGATTGAGTTAAACCCACGTTACACGACACGAGAGATTGCAGAAACATTGAACATCCATCATTCAAGCATTCTCGACCACCTGAAGAAGCTGGGATACGTAAGCAAGCTCGATATTTGGGTTCTGCATGAACTCAAAGAAGTTCTCTTGATGGCGTGTATAAACATCTGTAATATGCTCATTAAACGTGAGGAAAATGACCCTTTTTTGAAACGACTGATACCTGGTGATGAGAAGTGGATTGTTTACTACAATGTGGTGCACAAACAGTCTTGTGTCCAACGTGATGATTCGCCTCAAACAACATCGAAAACAGACATTCATCAGAGGAAGGTTATGCTTTCAGTGTGGTGGGATTTTAAAGGTGTCGTGTTTTTCGAGCTCCTACCAAAGAACCAAACAATCAATTTGAGTGTGTACTGTCAGCAATTGGACAGTTTGAATGAATTCATCATTCAGAAACGTCCAGAGCTTGTTAATTGTAAAGGAGTTGTGTTCCATCGTGACATCGTGAGACCACACACAAGTTTGATCACCCATCAAAAATTATTGGAGCCTGGATGGGATGTGTTGCCACACCCACCATACTCGCCTGACCTTATCCAGTCAGACTTCCACTTGTTTTGCTCTCTTCAAAACTCCTTGCATGGTATAACATTCAATTCAGATGAGGCTATAAATCAGCACCTTGTTCAGTTTTTCGCAAATAAAGACAGGTCCTTCTATGAACGAGGAATTATGAAGCTCACTGAAAGGTGGCCAAAGGTTATCGAACAAAACGGGCAATATATCCTTGATTGATCTTTGTTCTTTATATAAATAAATGACCTTTGAAAAACAGACAAAATACGTCATGACTTTTCCGACAACCCAATATATGCCTCTTCCATTATAAAAGAAGAAACTGTTTCTACAAAATATTGGCCACCTCTTGAAATGCTAGTTTTCAACATTTCTGAAAACTACCCAGCAAAGTGGATGAAATGGAAAGGAAACAAATAGTACAGAATTGCTTCATCCTCTGAACCATTTTTCACTTCTCATTGCTCTTTTATATTCTAGAGAGATCAGGAACTGAAACCTGACTCATCTTCATGTGCGAAGCTGTAACATTAGAATACTGAACCCTCTTTACTCTGCCCATTTGCCTAGCCAATTCAGTGGTATCATATTCTTCGGCGACACTAGATCATAAACTTAGCTACAGATTTTTTCCACAACAGAGTTCTTGGTGGTGGTGGTGGTGGTGGTGGTGTGTGTGTGTGTGTGTGTGTGTGTGTGTGTGCTGTGACTAATATATTTTAATCTATCAGACTTATATATACTATTATCCTAAATTTCTAAACTCAAAAATCACTCCTTAAAGGCACTATATAAGTCCTGTATATTTCTCATCCAGAGTAGTTTAGCTGCCAAGAAAATTATTGCTCCGTTGCATATCTCCACCTAACTTTCCTCTTCTCCCTAATAATCATGGAGATCCACCATAAATTCTTCTTTTTTCTTACTCATCTGCCAAGTCTTTTCTCCATTCCCTATGCCAAGATTCTCTGGCATAAACACCTGTGGCTGCCAAACCTTCCTGCTATTGTCCTAATATAAGCAGCTCGAAGACAACCGCTCGCCTTCCTCCCCGCAATTTGCTTTGTATATCCAGTTGCCAGAGGCCTGCAGAGCAAGTACCAGGAGAGAAGAAAATAAAACACTCCTTCTAGTGAAGGAGAGGAGGAAAGAAGGAATAGCTTTCTAACTCATGGGCTACCGTTGTTAAGAAAGTCCCCGGAGTATTATAAAGAAGTGGTTTTAAAGGACCGGTGTGATTTACATCTGTTTTCCTCTTTTCCATAAGCTGTGTGGAAGTATTTGATCTTTACCAAGCATGTGCCATTCCAAATTCCTTTTAATCGGACCAAAAAGGTGTGTTGCTCCCTAATCATCTAAGGAATCAGATGAGAACTAGTATGTTAGTTTGAAAACACTGGTCAGCATGTAAAGATGTGTCAGCTTTCCAGTGTTGAGGAAATTGCTCTGAAGACCTTTGCTCTAATATAGAGGAACTGGATGTAGCACATGGTGAGCACTGCACTGGTGTCAAGGGAGTTGGAATCGGTGTCTTGGCTCCACCACTAAAGAGCCATGGGAACTGGGCAAGTCACCTAGCTTCTCTGCACCTCATTGTCCTCATTGGTAAAATGGAGATAGTAACTAACATTGTGGGGCACTTACTAAGTGAGGAATAAACATATGGAAGAAGAGGGAGATTTTGCTACCCACCTTTCACCACCACTACCACATACAAAACATGTTTTGCTTTTAAATTACATATGGTCTAAGCCTGTCCATTGCTTCACTGTAAAACTAACATCATTTTTCCCTTTTGCTTCTTACAGATTTTTGCATACATGAATGAAACCTCTTCCCGAAAAGCAAAGTGGGACCTGCAAGCTCTTAGATTTTTATCAATTAATTCAATAATTGACCCTTGGGTCTTTGTCATCCTTAGGCCCTCTGTTCTGAGACTAATGCGTTCTGTCCTCTGTTGTCGGGTTTCATTAAGAACACAAGATTCAACACAAACTTCCTGTTCTGCCCAGTCAAATGCCAGTAAATAGACTGACCTCTGTGGACAGCAGCTAAGAGTGCTTATTAGCCAGCATCTGGAAGATCATTCTGAAATGGCTCCTTGGAGAAATGAGAAAAGTTGGTTTGTAAACAAAATGAAGCTATCCTAATAAAACAGAGTAAACACACATTTTAGCAATGGGTTGGGCTACAGACGTGCTGACAAGACACTTCATGGAAGGTGTCAGAAGGATCTATAAAACCTACCCTCCATAAGCATGTCACATGACCTTTAGAAGAACAACCAACTGCATTTAATATCCAGTTGCCTTTTGATTTAAGCTCTCCTGTGGAACAAGAAAGCATGTGGTTTTGTCATTTGTTTAAAGCCCTAAATAGTTACTGTGTGTTCTCTATTTTAATCTTCTGTTCTTCTGTGTTACTACTGTTATAAACATACAGTGTACAGTCAGACCAGATGAAACTTCATATACATTCTCTAGCAAGTTGATATGTAGAAACAACAAACCTGGTGTTTTGTGACTGTTTAACGAACTATCTTTGGACAATGAGTCTGAAAATCATAGTCACTTTGTATTATAATGTTTGTGTGTGTGGGAGTACTCTTTTGTCACTATTACTCATACTAAATGGAATTCTCATCAGTATTACTTGTGGAACAGTAGGCTCAGTTAATGTCAGTTTTTTCACTAGTCCTCCAGAAGCTATGTGTCAAAGTGTCAGGTTATTTATTTTATAATGTCCATTGTGCTAGTAATCAAGAAAACTTAAGGAATTTTCCTCTCAACAAGAAATAATAGGCTATTAAGAAAGTTGATTCTGATTATTACTCTTCATTCTATTTCTAGGGGAGGCTATACGAAGATTGGACAATTAAGTTCACCAACTTGCACCATGTACGTGCACAGTGGAAAGTTCACGAACTCAATTGTCCTACCTTTTTGGATGTGGCAATGTCTGAAGCTATATATTAGGATTAAAAACTGAAAAATCTGATCAATTCTTCAGATACACTGGAACCCTTTTAATGCTGATGTGAGGCCATGACTAACATCTACTTTATAAGATGACTGTGTTGTAGCAAAATTCATCTGTCTGTATTTTTATCCAGGAAACATGGTTTGACTCATACTACATAGGAAATCATGTAACAATGAGTCACATAGTAATGTATTTTTAAATCTAAAAGTTTGATATGGTGTAAACTCAGCATCAAAATATTTCAGTGAATTTGCACTGTTTAATCATATCTTAGTTACTGTGCAAACTCATTTGAAATGTTACAACAATAAACCATAAAACAAAAATTTGAAAATGGAATTTCCCCAAATAACATTTTATAGTTACTTTTCCAATGAGATAAAAGCAGAAAAATTATATTTAATTTGGCAGGTTTTTAAAGCATCGTTGCATTTTAAATTAGAGTTTAAAATAGTCAATATAGTACTTGGTAAGTGGATTTTTTTTCCTTACAGAATAATGTTTAAAATAGTAGAGCCATCTTATATTTTTTTCAGTGTGATTACAAGATAGCTGTTATAAAAAAACAAAAAGACATGTTAGTTCCAAAGTCTCATTGAGTTGCTTATGTAAAACCATTTCCTATAAGTAGTTATCAAAACTAGATGATCACTTAGGGTTTTTCCAAACCATTCTAAGCATCAGTGTATTTTGACACAATCTATGTCAAATCAGCTCTTTTTTTTTTTTTTTTTTTTTTTTTTAGCTGAGCCATCCTGCTACCTATTGGCAGCTTAGCGGCTGCTCAGCTTGGGCTGGCCTCGAACCGCTGTTGCTCAGAGCTCAAACTCTTGAGCGAGCTCTTAACCAACTGAGCCATTCAGCCAGCCCTTAAATCAGCTCTTATTTTAAAAGGAATAAATAAGTGGTTCCTTTCTACTGATTTAAACAAACCTGGCAAAATTTAACTTAACTAAAATCTGGATGTGTAAATAAATCTTCCCTGTCCACCACGTATCCTAAAGTTAAGAAATTGTTCTAAATAGGACTAATTAGGCTAGTTCAGGGATAATTCCTAAACATAAAATTCTGAAGCTAATTTGAACCTGGAAGACTGATTTCTTTTTCTTTTTTTTTAAGATTTTATTGGGGAGTTGGAGGAGGGGAACAGCGTTGGGGAATTAGGGAAGGGGAACAAACAAGTTGCTGTCCTTTTGTTCTTCAGTCTAGTTGTGGAGAACGTTGCTTCACTGGCCCAAGTTGGTATTATCATTGTGCTCTTCCCGGGTGAGGCAGTCACTCGCCGGCCATTGGACGGCTGTTCACGCCGGCTGCCAGCCACTCATGGTAGCTTATGGCAGCCCACTGCAGCTTCACTGCAGCCTACACCATCGCTGGCCACTCTCGGCAGCCCAGCTTCAGGTCGAGCTGTTGTTCACCATCTTAGCTGTAGAGGGCGCAGTGTCACTGGCCCTCATGTGGGATCTGAACCGGGGCCTTGCTCAGAGCTGGCATCCCAAGCCAACTCTGAACCAATGCGCCACTCAACTGGCCCTGGAAGATTGATTTCTTTTATCAGTTGCCTTTTTTCCCCCAAATGAAAATATTAACTATAATCCTTCACCCCACCTCACCACCCCAAAAAGTTCTGGAATAATGCCTGATAATTTTTTTTAAAAATCAAACTTGGACATAATGTCACTACTGGGAACAAATTGATTCACTCTGGGGCCCCAAAATGTAACAATTTAAGCCATTAATTTAAGAACCTATAGATTTCTAGAGCTTTGTTTCCTAGTTTCCTACTGTTCCTTGCACTGTATTAAATGACTAAGTCCTGTTATTTCATTTGCACTGATATATACATAGAAGGAGTTGAAGGTAAAAATCCCATGTAGCAGTCACTGATTAATAATGGTAATTTTTAAATAACAGAAAAAATTACTAGAATTAGATATGTAAATATTTCCTTTCTAAAAATCCTATCTTATCAGACATAATTAAGTTTATTGAGTCATTTTCAATTTTAATAAAAAACAGAACTTAGTTCAGTGTATTAGAGAACTGAACTATGATGAAAGAAGACCGAGATTTCATTCTTTGCCCTCGACAGTCAGTGGAATGAAAGGGGAGAAAGAAACTGTAGTAGATATTCACCTCAAAGTGCCAGTGGTAACTTTATGTGTCCAGAAATGGGATGGGCCAAAGCAACCCGTTCTGAGCTGAATTATTCCTGAATGGTTCACTGTGGCCCCCGGTCATCTTTTCTAAGAGTGTAATGGGAAATTCTGGTACTAAACGGTGGCCTTGAATCTCCAAAGATCTGAGAGGGACCTGAGTTTGCTTAGATGCTATAGAAAGCCTCCAAAAGACCTGAACTGAAGGCGGTTTGGACCCATGACAACCTAGAGCCAGACCAACGCCCTGGAAACAGCACCAATGCAAAACCACCACGCTGGCAGAGGCTGCAAGCCCTGAGCATTGGGGAAGGCAAATCTGATCCACATCATTATGTTCTCAGTGTAATGCAGTTAAACCTTTGGCACTTCTGCCTGTTCACATCAGCGCAAATTGAAAGGATTGTCCTAATGCTAATGTAATATCAGCTCTGATTTGAAACAGATCAGTGAAAACATATTCGGGTTTAGAATTTGATAACTTTGAAAGGCAGGGGAAGACAATTAGTTCGCACTGAAGCAGAGCTTTATTTATTTCACTTTGCCAGATCTAATGGGTTGAGCCAAGCCGAATGGTTTTCTGAATTTGGGAAGCTTTTGAGCTGTTCACAGATAGAGAAGCACTCTTGTCTGCAAATGAATGATTTATATTTGTGGATTTACAATGCCTCCTCATGCAGGTGTTACAACTTGAATATTTGATGATTATCTTCTGTCTTTATCAAACACTTAACTCCATTGGATTTCCTCTCTGAGTGCACTTTTATAACATACCTCCAATCACTGACAGCATTATTATTGATTTTTTTTTACTTACAAAGCATTTTGATCACCTGAAATATACTATAGAAATAAATATTATTTTGGCAATTCACAAAAGCTACAGTTGTCTAATTTATACATGGGACCAAGGCTATATGCATTGGGCATTCATTTTTATTTCAGAAAGTTACTCCTCTTTTTTTCTGGTAGATTTTGTGATTTTTTTTTTAATTGTAAGTAAATTTTCTCGAATTATATTTTTTTATTTTCTGTAAAATATATGTACTATTAAAGGTCAATTTGTATGGTTGAATTCTGTGATTTAAGTGTTTTATTTTTTAAAATCTGCCGAGAGTCAAATAGATCAGTGAAGATTCCAGCAGCAAGAAATCACACACTCAAAAGGGTAACCGAGGACTATTGAATGAAAGGAATATTTACAGAGGAGTAGGCAAGGTTTAGGGAATCAAGGGATGGTAAAGGATCCCTTGGAAGCTGTTACGGCTCCTAGGCTGCAAGGGACAAGGGTGTAGCAGTCTCTGGAAATGAGTGACAGCTTCAGGGGCTGCCACCCAGCAGGTGCTTTGGCCTTAAGTAGGGAAGTACAACTGATGCCAAACCACAGGGAAGGGATGGGGGGCCACCTTCCTGGTGGTTCTCTCCTCCTACTCTCTACTCTTCTGCCTGTTCCTCCCATTGGCCAAACCCAACTGTAATCCGACTGTAAAACACCTGGGTGATGCAGTCCATGAAGCCTGTCGTTCAGGTAGAGAAGACAAGCAAATGGAGAATATCCAGCATAAGCAGATTAAAAATATATTCTTTTCAGGGCCGGCCGAGTGGCTCAGTTGGTTAAGAGCTCGCTCAAGGGTTTGAGCTCTGAGCAACAGCGGTTCGAGTCCAGCCCGAGCTGAGTTGCTGCTGAGCTGCCAACAGGTGGCAGGATGGCTCAGTTAAAATATATATATATATTCCTTTCAAAAAAATTATACCAACACAAAAATTGAAACCATCAAGTGGGCTGTCTTTCTACCTTCTACTCCAATTTGATACCCTCAGCAAGCTTGGGGAATAAGAATCAGCTCCATCTGCATGGAAATGGGTAAAATACTATAGATTCCTTTACCAAAATATTTGTCCTGGACTCTGCTTTCTGAGGCTCAGCATTTATATCTATCCAACTCTGGAGACAGTTGATCTGATCAAGGGGAGAGAAAAGGGATCAGACCAAAGCATCTTTCTGTTTTCCCTGCCCACAGCAAAACAGCAGAGCAGCTATTTCTAAGCAGAACAAAGAGAGATAGCATGTATACTGGTCTGGAAATGAACTGAAGCCTTATTTTTAAGAAGGACCACTGGAGTGAGAAAAACCAAGAAAAGGTTGGTTAATAGTGCTGAGGGAAAGCCATATCCCTCAATGTAACATGAGCTGGAATAGGTCTACACAGCTAGTATAAAGAAAGAATACATGTAGCAACTCAGCAATTCTGCATAGTTAAAAATCCTGGGGCGGCCAGTTAGCTCAGGTGGTTAGAGTGCAGGCTCATAACACCAGGGTTGCCGGTTCAATCCCCTCATGGGCCACCGAGCTGCACCCTCCACAAATAGATTGAAACAACTACTTGACTTGGAGGTGATGGGTCCTGGAAAAACACACTGTTCCCCAATAAAATTTCTTTTAAAAAATGCTAATTAAAATAACAGGGAAAAGCAAATTGTAACAAAATGGAAAAAGATTGGACCAAGTACGGCGCCCAGGGCCATCTGGCCATATTGCGCTTTTTTGCTAACACAGGACTTATCCTCACTCATCCCCTTCTAAAGCACACTTTTCCTAGCACAGGCTTTCCCCATCCCCCTACCAATGGGTTCTGTCATCTTTGGTGCACGCACTCAACCTTTACCCTTTCAGCAAATTCTAGATTTATCTGGGGGATTTTCAAGATTTGTCAGACTGCTGGGGTTTTCTCAGACAAGTGATTTAACCTCTCTGCCTCTTGGATTCTTCATCTATAAAATGAGGATAATAAAGTTATCCATTACCTCATTGTTTTGAGGGTTAAACGAGTAAATGCATGCAGGACATTCAGCACCATGCCTGGCCATGGTACATGCTAATAAGGTTAAGGGTTAGTATTACCCTAGATACCCAGTTCAGTGGCCCCTCTGACTGCCTCACATACCTCTGCCTCAGATTGCTCATTCTTTATGGGGGTCGTGGTGCTAGGGATCATGGTATCTACTTGTTAACTCTGGGTAACTGTCAAGAATGATGATGATGATAACAAATGTGGGACAAGTTTGTATTTCAGAAAATGCAGTGAAGATTGGCACACAACATAGGGCCCTGTAGAGAAATGTGTAAGCATAAAAGAGAGAAGTCCAAGAGAGACAGAAAGACAACAGGACATAAAACATGTCCCCTGCTCCCTTGATGGAGACAAGGAGGGGAGCAAGAGGGAACAGCACCTAAAACACTATTCAAACAGGATATTTTGTGTTTTGGGAAACTCAACTCTCACAAAGCTTAAATTAAGCAGATTTCATTTACACATCATCTTCTGAAGAGCCCCAGAATCAGTCCAAGCCATGTGTCACAAATGACCTTTCATGTTCCTGAAACTTTCACCCATAACGTCTCTCCTCTCTGGGCAAAACATGCCTGATTTCCTCACTTGTCCCTTGTGTAATGCCTCACCATTTTGGTGCCCTCCTCCAGATCTTATCCAATATGAATATGTTGGGCCAGAACCAAACACCAATAAATAATTCAACAATGGTCTTCTCAGTA